ACCACCACCCCACCACCACCACCACCACCACCAACTGCATATTTCCTTAAGGTCATGGTCTTTAGCCTTCTTGCTACTACAAACCCAATGTCGCCTCGTTTGCTTTTAACATGAGCCATCAAGCGGTGATTGGCGTATCGAGAGGTTAATTGTTAAACTAACTAATCGATCGTTAACGTTTGTTTTTTTGTTCCCCTCAGAAGGCATTGCCCATAGGGTGCATTTCTTCTGCCAAACTATCAACTCATTTCTCCCACGTGCCCGTGGATTTCTCTCTTCCTCAATAAGCAATCTGTAATTTTCGGCAAATTACAAGTTGCACTGGGTACTCACGTTCCCTGGGTAACGAACGCCCCTCGGTCGCGCTAGGAGGCACGCAACTCAATTGGGTGTGAAGTTACGCAAAAAAACTACATCTGCATATTTGACCGGGAGGAAATGTGGCGGAATTCGTTCCGTCCGTCTTTTGAAGCCACCTGTCTTGTGAGGGAGACTACACGGGTTGTAGTTTGTGGCAGCTTACGTTCTCGCTGTTTGAGCCTATTTTCTCAGGCATTCGCGAGTTGATTATTTTTGACCTGTGTCACAGTTAGCCACGCAGCTACGGCTTCTCTCTATTGGTAGAATCTTGTGTTGATAAATTTGTTGATGTCGAATGGGGTTGTTAGGTGACCTGATCACATTCAATCCACTTGTCCATGCAAGATGAAATTGAACTATTTCCAAACCCGTAGTGACTTAACGAAAATGTGAGGTCAAAGGTCGACCGTGTTTTATAAAGACGGCGATTTAGACGTTGAGAAGGACGCCTAACAGTATGCAAAATTTGTTTTTTTTTAAATAGAAATCACGAATCTGTTGAATATTGCCTTCACATTCATTTGTAGGGGTTTGAAACGGCTTTCCGCACCTAACCTACTGAACTTTTGTGTCCAACAAAGCGACCCCCTGTTCAGCAACGGTACAGTGGTGCCCGTGAATGCAATGTAGCGAGCTTTTGTGTTGTGGCTCGGATTACTGACACAGCCAACTACAATGGCGCTCTCACGTTCTCGCAGCCGATTCCACAGATCGCTGTTGGAATTCGGTGCCTTTTCTGTTAACGTTTAACGCTTAATCAGGCTCCATCAACGACCTTGACTGCAAATAATTAGCTCACTTAAACTGTGGAGTAAACCAATTGGAAGAGTGTGCAGTCGATGAACTTGTGTGCATGACCGATTCACATGGCGAACATTGGCAATTGGTAAAATCGACATTGTTGAGTTTTAGAGAAATGGTGACTTCCCCAACAACGTCTTTACTTTTAAAAAGGGCAATAATTTCAAGACCAAAATTAAACATTTTTCTCGATAAAACATGAAAACGCCACGGTGTGGAGTTACGGTGACGTCAGTTTCGGATCATAATTGATTCAATTTTCGCTGCATTGCACAACCAACGTTCTCACCCATCATCCCAAATTCGCCTCACCGCGGTAAGGTGATTTCGCGCGTTCACCGTTTGCGTCGACAGATAACGCTCCCTGCCATGCACTGGAGACATATTCTTTTGTCGAATAACCAATCCCAATTTATGCAACAAATCCCGTCGACTTGATTGTTTTCGTCCAAGTGACCAATCACACTGTTGAGATTTAATCCTGCGCACATTAACTCACGCACACTGGTTTTCGTGATGTGCTTTCGATATTTACAACGATTTCCCAATGTGTGTGTGTGTGTGTGTGTGTCGGATTTGCACTTCTTGTTGACGCAGTCACTAATTGCATCCAGATGTTGAATCGGCATGTCGGCCTCCCGGATGCATCCTCGTTCGTAGCTAATGCGGATGTAGCCGAAACGACAAATGCCGCATCTCCCACACAAGCAGAAGCTGCGATTTTCAGTCGCTGTAGAATCCCTGGACGTGGTCTTCGTAGTCGTGGTCGCCTCGTCTGCATGTTTTCGGCAATGTGCTGACAACTTGTTTAAACTCAGGTATTTAGGGCACATCGGTGCGCTAAACTGGTAGCAGGATAATCGAACAAAGAACGCACTCAGAGTTGTTCGCGGAAGCTTCGCCACGAGCACAGACATATTCCTTACCCCCTTTTGTGATCTGTCTTTCGAATGCAGATTTGCAGAGAGGAATTCGTTGCACTTCACTCGGAGGATATAATGGCTAATCTCTCAGATTATCTGCGAGGGAAATTCGAATATTCCCAGGAGTAAGTCGTGCGTGTATGCGTGCGTGTGTATGATTGTTTACCTTCAATTCCCTCTCCATGCGTGCCAGAAAAGGGGAGTGGTGAGGGGTCGCAAAGGGGACAACTTCCTCCTCCCTCCTCCCTAATTTGCATTGCACACAGGGTGAACCAGGCGTGAACGCACTTAATCGTGGGCTCCATTGTATTTCAGTGAGTTGGACAAGTTGCCCGCGGAGAAGCGCGTTGAGGCCGAAAACTTCAACACACTCCTCAGGCAGTTCCCCAAACGAGGCAAGTCAATGCGTACACTCATGTCCCTTTTTTTCTGTCTAAAATTGTCGTGTATTTTGATCTGGGTGCCACCGCTAACGTCTGTGTCTAATCCCCTTGACTTGTAGGCACTTTCGACTTGAACAAGGTCCTCACCTCGACATACTTCTTCAGCTAAGAAGGCGCCACCTGGGACAACCGCGGCAAATCTCAGCATCACATTTTCCAGTTACCTTCTGCCCTCTTGTACATGTTGTAAAAAAAGTAGCTTTTACACGAGGCGTTGGGGACTTGGGATGATGCTGGATTACAGTCGAACAGCTGTTTCGCGTGTGTGCCTTGTGTTTACGTTGTAGAATTCAGTCATGGGAGACCTTTTAATGACCAAATGTGGCCTTTAGCATTGAGTGCAAGCCCTCGCTTGACTCCGTGCCACGTGACCTAGCGTAGACGGGCAGTCAGATAGGCAAAAATGACATTGACGCTCGTGCCAAATTGTGATTGGCTCTTAGCGTACGTGGACATTATGATTAATTTTGTGTTGATGCTTACGTTTCGACAGACGCAATCCTGGTCTTGCGTCAGTACCTGCTTCTGGCGAAGACGTGTTTCCACGTGGATTGTGTTGGTAAAAAACTGCGGATGCGTGTGTGTGTGTGTGTGTGTGTGCCGAAAATAGCTTTCTAATGCCAGTGAGAGTGCAAGTTCTCGTACAAACTAAATGAAGGTCCGTCGACTTTTACCAAGGGGTCAGCTCAGTAAGTTCTCTGTGATTGAGTGAACGACAGATGGAACCCTTCGATATTGGCCACAAGATTGGCATATTTTGTGTGCAAGATGCGATAGGGCAGTTATTGAAGCTTCACAGAGGGGTGTATTCTGTCCTGCCTGGTATTTCCCGTCGTTATTAAGTTACTGGAAATTTATAATGAACCACACGCACACTTGAATATCAGTTTTTGCGAAAACTGATTTTGTCATTCCTGATTATCGACCAGATCGGTTTTCATCAGTTTTCCGTGTAGTTCGGATACACGCAATTTGCACAGCAGATGAAAACTTGGTCAAAATAAATACGCTGATCAATCTACGAGGAAGTGCACGTAAAGGAAGGCAGGATCGTGAGTACTCGTAGGAACATTCCTGGGATCAAAAATAGGGTTTTGAGATGCCGTGATAGTCTGCTTTGAGTGTAGGACATCTTGACGCAGTTGTACAAGAATGAGCTGCGCACGTCCGTAGTCGTCGGTTCCTAATTTCGCCTTGGTTAAAACAACACTCTCCCCTCAGATTTCGCTGTACAAAGGAAGATCGGCCACGTCCGCGCAAATGTTTGTGCTGTGCAAGCCAAACGGCGTCTAGTTTTTGTGGTAGTTAGTTTAATTTCCGCTAAGCGCTTTTCTTGTGCTACAAATTTTCTCTAGTTTCCGTAAATCACTCCGTCTCAAATAGTCACTAATTATACATGCGGTGGTAATCGCTCTCAGGGTTTGGAAGGTAATTTTTCCAAGTGGAATTATCGATCCAGGAACCACGTGGCCACAAATCCAGTTGGTCTTGAAACTGCAGGCGAGCATAAAAATCGATATTCATGTTTGAATCCTCACGGCAGTTGGACGTTTTGTGGGGCTTTCAGCCACGAAATGGGCCTACAAATTTCAAAGCGCTGTACAAAGTATGCAACATCCGATGTGATTAGTGCGTTTGACGAGTCAGTCCGTACTTATAAGCCACAGCGTAAGGTGGTTTTGGCTATCCACGATGAAATAATCAATGCCTACGAGGCGCCGTCTCCAACGCCGAGCACCTCTGATGAAGCCGAGTTCTCACGAGTAGAGTCGGCAAGTGTAGCGGCTGGACCGGTGAAGTTAAAGTGCTTTTTCAAGCGACCCCCCTCTCCTGGCCTGCGTGTTCTCACGCCTGAACAGGCCAATCACGAGATGGAGTGTAACACGGTGACCTGCTATGTCGACGCTGGGTTGTATTGCTGGTTGTGGGTGAGGTACGCGGAAGCCAGGGTCTTCTTCAATCAGAGGGATCGACGACTGGTGTCAATCGGTAGAATAAGCAACTGCAACATTGTTGTGAATCCAGGGTTGCGTGTGCATCCGCGTTTCGGCGTCCAGAAACTGGTGGAAATCCACGCAAAGACGCAGCGTGGCATGAGCAAGTGTCTGAATCTTGTCGAAGAGAAGTTCCCCGGCTTCGAGGTGCGGAATGTCGTGTTTCCTAGCTGATCTCGAATCTCCATGATTTTCCACGTACCCACGATTTGTTATATCCACGTTTTGTCTAATCTATGACTCACTTAAAAGCCTGTTCTCGATTTTGTGATCCAAGCTGATTTCAGCCATCGAATGACCACTTTTTTTAAATAAAACCACTAACGGAGTTGGCGTTTTCCAAATGGTTTTGAGTAAAAAGGTCGTTCTCGATTCAAAGCGTCAAAAAAGAACTCCTTCTGAGCCAACATGCACATTTAGGCATATCAAGAGTCATGCGACTGGGAAAGAGCCAGAAGTCCTATTAGTATAGTAGTGGTTGCCTCAACTGTGGTAGATTTTCGATTAATCGAAATCCGTAAGCAGATAATTGGTTCTGCATGGACGTCCGATGTCGAGCTCATGCCAATTCCGCTTATTGTAATCGACGATTCAATCAAAATCTTTGAAGTATTTGTTGTAATCGAACCACGGCCTTAATAAGTACCCAAGTCAGTAAGAATGCAATATCCCCGATTCAATGAAGACTGCTGCAAAAACGCGATTTTTCCAACTTGGCGTTTCTCGTTTTTCATTGTTGATGGACTGGGGAGATTAGTCAGCGAGGTATTTGGCCGTGTGACTGCAGCAGACTGCAAATCTCCAGTTGTCTCTACTGAGTAAACAGTCAAACAGGATTGTCTCGTCAAACACATCTACGCGTAACCGTGCTACACGGAGCACTAAACTGTCTTCACCCATGTAGAATTTGCTGCAACACCTTAATGAGAAAGGGAATGAGAGGGGGCTGGTACTAGACACGAGTGAGGAAGAGAGAGTTGACGAGAAGAAGGGGACTAAATGAGAGGGTTTTTATGCATGATTTGGAGCACTAGAAGTACGCGCTTTCCCCTACGAGCAGGTGTTCTCAACCCTGGAAACAGCGTTTTTTTCTTATTAGTGCGTAAAATGTTCTGCCTGAGGGGGCGAGGCTTGGGGCATGGAGTATAGAAGCAAAGCACATTAAATAGTTTCTGTCAAAACCAAACAACGCCCTCAGACACCATCTCATCTTGCATGGGTGGTTCAGGCGAAGCTAAGCACTGCAAGCGTTATCTGAGGGCGGTAATCTAAATTCTGCAAACTGTTCTGTAAGCCAGGCGTTTCCTTATTTCCTTTCAGTTACGAAGTGGGCTGAGCTAAAGTGTGGGTAAATATAGCGATGAGGTTATCCTAACTATATCCACGTACTGCTCCATGTGAGCTTTCATACCCTGGCAAATGGATACACCTTTTTATAAAAAGTGATTTTGACAGTCTGCATTCACTTTGAGTCAGAAGAAATCATCCTGGATGATGGTAAGCTTGAGAAGGTGAACGAAGGCGATTTCACGTGTCGGTTGAAACGTGTGTAGAGATCTGGAGAGTCCCACTTTGACTTCAAAAACCGCTGACATTAAGAAGAGAAAATGTGTTTTGTTAGTAGTACATCAGTGTTATTTTCTTGAGGTGAAGGGATGGAAGCGTCAGGATGTTGTGCATGGAAAGTACAGCTTTTGTTCATCCACTGTTTTGCAGATTACGACATTCTGGGGCCAAGACAGGCTCGTGTCAACAATTTGATTAAAAACCCATCTTGTAACGACAGGGAATGAGAAGATTAAAGCACTACGGACCGCGTTCACGGTGATTTGGCTCAGACGAAAACACGTGTTTACGGTTGGTTGACTGCTTGGGCACAAAATTAGAGGTGAGCAGAGAGAAAGAGGAAAAAGGGATGGCTTATTCAAAGAAAGTTGAGCGTGTTTGCGTGATTCAGAGCGAAGAATTGTATGCCTGAGTTATAGATTGTATTTTAAAGGTAGAATTTACGTATGACCTCGAAAATGTACAAGTCAACCACAATATTCCGAGCGGATCATGCAGGACCACAAACAGTGACATTCTGTGAATTTTTGACTGAGTGATTGAGCTGCTAATATGTTCAATGTAACTGGGGTTTCGCCTATTAGTTTGCAATCTAACTGGTGTTTAGTGCTGCTCCACACCTTATCTGTTTTACGGCTTTGTATGGTGCAATCATTTGGGCCGGAGAAAACCGTGTTTAACAAGGAAGTGAAGTGTGTAAGACGACTATTGAGAGAGCAACTGTTGGGGATTCAGGATTCCCCCCTCATCGCCGGTTTTCGTCAGTGTGTACACTAATCTAACCACGTCACATCAGTGTCACCTACGACATCCTGATGACAACCACATCCGTGTTAATCCGCTTTCATCCATCAAGTCAAGGATAAAGCGATTAGAGCTCTCTACTCGAGCTCTGGTCTTGTTCGTGCATTAGCTTGGGAAAGTCGGTTCTAGCGTCAACAAGGGATCTGGTACCGTTATCTGATTGGTTTTCTCTTGGTTACGGGCAAACACAACATCAACTTGATTTAAAGCGATACTCATTCACGGTTAAGCAAGCATTTGCTCACCTTCTTGTCTGGAACAGTGATCAGAATAATTATTCCACAGTCTGCTTCTTTTTTTGACTTAAACAAACCTTGTGGCCGAAATCTGCTTGCATGCTTGGCCAACGGTCAAAATGGGAATTCCTTTTGCATCTAGTCTACTCCAGGTTAAATAGTACAAAATTGGTGGGATTTAAAAACGGCCTTTCCCAACAAAAACAGACTTCTTCTAAAACAATCTGGTGTTTCAAACCCTTCAGTTACTAAAATTAGGAGTTATGGTGATTTCTTCCATTGCTATTACCAAGACAAACGGAGCTATTAACACAAATGTCTGTCAGCTGATTCAAACACGCATAACCTTACAAAGTTTAGTCGACGTTCCAACCAGAGTTGAGTTGTCAGTTAGTGACGCATCAGATGTACTTTAACCACAAGAATCTGCTCATTTTGTGCTAATTTTGAATGTACCAAACACAACTGATTACGTATATCACGATGGCAGCGCACCCGCATCATTGGCCCACCCTCCGCTTTAAGTGTGCTACGGGTGTTATATTTTCCTCTCAAGGTCATTGAAGTGGACGTGCAGAGTGTATTCCCCGGGATTTAGGATGACACAGCGAAGAATTGGAAGTTTCTTCAGCACACCTGTAATAATGCTTCAAAATCAATGTCAAAATACATGTATTTTCATATACAGAGGTGGAGAGAAAGAAGAACAAACGGAGAGGGAGGAAGTGGGTGGGAGGAGTCAGGCCACGTAGATTCATTTTATGTGAAAACGTGGGAGGAAGGGGATTTTAGAAAGAGAATTTGGCTCTTAACTGAACTACGCGGGGTTCTCGGAATTGCACATGTCCGGGGCAGGCAAAGGTGTCTCTGATTGGCCCTTTTCAAGAAAGTCCTTTCCGATCGCAGATGCTGCTGTCCCCTTGGGAGAAGACGCGGAATCCAGGGGTGATCCGGGCGATGTGAAGGACGAGACGAGATTGGAGACCGTAGCGGCGGTTGTGGTGAAGGGAGGAACGAATATGCGATTCCCGGTGATCGGATCAACAATCGATATCGACGGAGGCGGTTGTTGCGAGGTGGGACTGGAAGGGCTGTCTGTCATTGCGTAGACGTCTGGCGACCTGTTCGGGGATTTCAGAACCAGACACCTTGGGGTGGGTGAACCTGCGGCGGTTGCATGTGCCACCTCAGAGAAACTGTCCACAAAATGGACATTTTGAAGACAGCCATCCATTGGACAGCAGGGCTTCAGAGTCACATAGGCTTCTGAGGACTTAGGATCATTGGTCCAAATTTCGGTGCGGACTAGGGCATCCGTGGAAATAGGGAGTGTTATCACCTCCGTTCCGCCGTGGCTAGTAAGCGGAGTTGAGCACTTGACGGCTTGGTTTATGCACTAAAATGACAGCACAAGCGCTAACCAACTCATTTGAATCAGCTCAAAAATATCTCTCAAACCAGATACAACGCCTTCTAATCAAAAGTAAAGCTGATTAATACACAATTAACTTCAAATTTCATTCGTCAGAGGGTTTTGATTTGCTTTACTATCAATATTAATCGCTATGTTTCAAAATGAATGACAATGTGATCAGGTGCTGCTGAATTAGTTCCCATTATAAATTTGTAGGGTTCTACCGTGTCTAGAGAGAAACGTGTGGTCTAGCGTCGTCACGACAAACGGTGGCGCCTTTTAACCGACCAAATCTAGACGTTTAGCTTAGAATACAGCATTTGGCCGGGTAATTTTCTCACAATACTTCTGTACAGTTATTCCTCAGCCGTGTGAAAATAGTTAATTCAAAATGAATCCTCTGCAATCCCTCCCGTCAAACACGTCACGTCGATTTCACCCAATGTGGTTGTTCTGCATTCGTCAGACATTGTTCTTCACTACAAAACTTCCAGTTTCTTTGTTTTACTTCATCTTAGTAAACAACCCAATTTTCACCCTCCCTAAAGTGTGATCCCAGGAAAGATTCGGTTTGCTGATTTGCAAAAAGATTTGCGACTGTAAAGGCATAATTCAGTTTGCTGAATTCTGCCAACAAGTGCGGAACCGATAAAACTGAATTTTAAAGTACATTCAAGTTGCACTCAATGGTGAAATGCTATCAAATTGTCAGCATACAGTATTTCTGCTATCCATCGTACCATTTACTAATCACAGCTAAATTCCTTACGTGTTTTAGGAGATTACCTATAACCCAGTCCACCGTTTAGATTTATGTAATCATATCAAAATCTTTAAACTGAGAAAAAAAGTTTGTTTTTTAAGGGATGACGATAAAATGGCTATCCATTCCGTGGTAGTTAGTAAATTCTTACTAGTTACTAAGCACGGATGAAGTCCTTAATTGTTTTAGAAGATTGCCTTTCGACAAGTCAATCATTCAGATTTAAATAACCCTAGAAAAATCGACCAAAAGCAGTTATAAACTATTCAACTGACTTCCCAGGCATATTTTGTTGCAGTATCGATATACGCTTTCTTTCTACCTTAATGCAACGTAGCATGATGATAATGCGCCTGTACTTTTTCCAAGTTAAAACCTTAATCCTGCGTACAGATTACCAAAGACAGAGTGTTTTCGAGGGCAATGTGATGCCGGTAAGCTAACAATGCGATTATAAATAACCAGAAACACAGTCAAAAGTGTCCTTTCTGCACCGCTTGGGGAAGTCCGTTACGAACTTTTGCAACCGCCCAATTCATCATCAAACCACACTTATGGCAATTCTCGTCGCACAATTTCAAGCATCACAAGTAGCCAAGCGCATATTGCTGGGGACAAGATGTGCCACCGAGTATTGCAAACTGAGAACTGCCAATACGCTGACCAATGCAAAGGTAATCATTTAGACTGAACTCACAGATCAAGTTTACAAGTGCACTGAGGCTGCTTTGAATGAGGAAGTTTGTCAATTTGTCAGCATTTCGTCTTTCTACAATTTCACAAATATTACTACGGTCACAGTCATTATCAGTGCCGATAGGTTGTCCAGAATACGATTAATCATTTTGTCTCAAGTCACTACATTACATTAGAATGGAATCAACACCATCATCAATTGTGCTGAAATCAAAAGCAGGATTTAAGTCAACATCCTGAACACTCTTTGCAGTTTCAGCACACTCATTTACAACTTCGTTTGACATGACGCAAATGCAAATGTTCTGCTGGTTTAAATATTAACCTTGTGCACAACGAAAGCTAAAGAGGCTGTTTTTTATAGCTTGTAATACGATTGAAGAAACACGAGTTAATTCAAGTATATTTATGCAGCAGGCCACTTCATAATCAAGCCACATTTATGTCAATTCTCGTCACAAAATGCCAGGCATCACAAGTAGCCAAGTGCACGCTTTGATTGACATTTACTGGGGACAGGATGTACCACCAAGTATCGCAACTTGCCACAAAAAATCACTCATAAAAGTTTGCCAGTGGGAAAAGTGGTTTAGTTTTTCACGGCGGCTGTTGTGAACGTGATATATACGGTTCGAAGGGAATTCGTGCGTTTGCGACGCTGCTAATGCTTTTAAATTAATCTGGCAATAATGAGGATGTTTTGGCAAAGCACACAGTTGCAACCACCTAGATGGTTCGGCACATTGTACCTAGGCGTGCTTTCAGGATATTGCTGCCTGAGCCACCTCTAATCACTTTGTGTGACTTTAACGTCCA